GAGAGAGAGAGAGAGAGAGAGAGAGAGAGAGAGAGAGAGAGAGAGAGAGAGAGAGAGAGAGAGAGAGAGAGAGAGAGAGAGAGTCCAGGGAGTTACAATCGTGTTTCATTAACGGCGTTATTTCTTGCGTTTGGTTTTGGCGAGGTTCATATTCGGTTTCGTTCTCCATTTTTTCATTGACGGTCAAATTTCTTCAGTTGGTCTTGTCAAGGTTCACATTCAGTTTCATTCCACATTTTGACCCCTCAGTTGCTGTGGGTTTGGATTTGCTTTTCTTTTCCCTTTGGCAGTACCAAAGTGCTGTGTTGTCGTTGCACTCAAGAGATTTTCATGGCATATCAGCGGACTTGGTGTACGAGCTTCGGCGTATGTTGAGTTTAGATCCAAATGGGCGACCGAGCGCTGTCGAGTTTGGAGGTGTGTCATTATGGCAAATCCTGTTACCTCTCGTCTCGTTTTTGAAAATGCGATTTCTGGGCAGTTTCTCCTCGTCTCGCATCACTGCTCCTCATCATCTTTGAGTGGATTTTAACATGAACCTGCCTCACCTGTTTGCAAAGTTTCCCACGACACTTTTGACATGCACAACTGCCGATCCGTTTTACTGTTTTACCCTCTGAGTTGTGGCCTTGCATGTGTAACGAGATGCTTGCCTGCTGTGAAACTTGAGGTTGACATGTGTGTGTCGGGGGCATATTACCTTGAGGTATGGTGTGTGTGTGTGTGTTGTGGACCGTCACCACCTCAAGCCCTTTTCCACCCAGACGAGCATCTCCAAAATTGAAACATCTTCACCCCTATAGCAAAGAACTTGAAGCACACGAAAACTGTTGTTTTCCCTTTTCCTTGTACAGTCCTTTCTTCGTTGTCCCTTTTTCGGCTTTCTTTCGGTACTCTTTTTTTTGTTGAAAAACTAACCTATGTTCTTCTCTCAATATATCTCCCTCTACCTATCTACCTACACGCAGCTCAGCAAACCACTACAGGGTTTGTCCAAGGGAAGAAATCTCTTCTAAGTTAAGAAGGCTCGACTAGTCTCTGCTCTGTGCGGGGAGCAGCACCCAAGCTTCTAACAGGCGCGAGCTGGAAGGCGCCAATAGTCCCTTCCCAGCCTGCCCGGAGGCCCAAGCCAATTATCTCCGCTGGAGAACCCGATGCGCATCACAGGAGGCCGTGGGGATAGAATGGATGCCGTGGGGAATCGAACCCACGACCTCCTGTAAACCACTTCCGTGCTCAAACGAACTGAGCTAGCCCGCTTGGGCTTTGGGTACCCTTTTTATTCTCTTTGCGGCTCTCTTTTACTGTGCCTCTCACGAACAAGGCTTGCCACGTCGATTGTGGTTGAGTGGAAGCTGCCCACATCCCTGTGTACCATGATGGCCCTTTTTCACGTTACGAAAGAAGGCAGAGTAAAGTGGGAGGTAATAAGTATACTCCTGTTCATTTTTCAGCAGATCTTCAGCTTATATTTTGTCTGTTCTCTTAGTGATGCTTATTTCAAGTTCTTTGTATTTTTGTATGCATTTAGGAGTAGTATTACACAAGGGATGGAGGAAGGAAAGAGGAAGGGGAGGAGTTCAGAACAAACAAACAGAAGATAAACTTCATATTTTCGGTTGGCTGGGAATTTGTCGTTCAGTACTCACCGCCAGAGCAGACTACTGTAGAATGGCACTAGAGGCCAGTCAGTGTGTCGGTTGCATGGGAATTTGAGTTTAAGGAGCAGGCGTTGCCTAGGCCCTATGGTGAGTGGCCACGGCTATAGGATGGACAGGACCGGTGTGGGTGTGGACTGTGGAAGCCCCCCACATCCAATTCTCGTGGCTCCTACATGCACGGAACACACAGGCCTGCCGACTGCAATTGCATAGGCATTGCCGTTCCACGCGCTGTCTACAAATAGGACATGCCATGTCATGGGTGCTGTACATGAGTACGATGTTGACTGTCATCATCCGTATGAAAAGAAAGAGGGCTATATACCTTCATAATCCTCACAACACAAAGCATGCCAATCACATGCTAGCTGAATCTCAGGCGGGTCATCACAGTGCGGCATTGCACAGGTTTTTTGGGTTTCCGCAGCCAATATTCCCTCTTTATGTTGGGCATGCGATGAATGGTCCAACGTGTTGCAAGATCTGGTTTGCAACAGCTCGCTCTGGCGGCGATAACCGTTCAAAAGCCACAGTGCACTGTAGGTGGTTCATGTGAGAGTCTATTTTCCACCTCAAGCTGCTGCGTCTGTTGGTCATTTGGCAAGGATGGAGGAGATGCGATTGCCGGTGCAGCTGGAGGATGGCCGACGTTGCATGTGGAACCTGAACGGAGAGGATGTGGTGGGTGATGGCATCGGGGATAGTCCACACAGTAGAGACACATACTTTCCATTACAGCTTCCTGGAAACATTGATGGCACGTGGCATGCTTATGTTTGTTGCTGACATGCCAGCACACATCTACCCCCTTGGCAAGATCGCTCTCATCTGGCTGATCACGGACGTTAGAGTGCACGTATAATCGTTGTGTAGCTTGAAATACGCATCAGCCTCGTTGTCGGCTGTCAACCGGTGGCTCTCTTTTCTGTCTGGAGCTTGTTTTTCACATGGCGGTTGTCATCGCCACACTCGACCCTGTCTGGATGGGCCTTTCTTTCTCGGGCCCATTGTTTCCCCAGGGATGGCAGGGGGGACAGAACCACGTGCCAACTGCTCTTTCTTGTAGGTAGAGGAGTTGTAGATGTATTATGAAGAGCAAGAACAAGGGTGGGCAACTGTTGCATGCCTGTGAGTGTGCAGACATATCTCCATTATTGGCTCAATCTCAGACACAGCATAGCACGTAAACTGATCTGGATGTCCCTTGCAGCAATGCTGTGGTCAGCATACTTGTTACCCCCTGAAGAGATTGTACCTCCTTATCCTCCCCTGCTCCCATTCCCCTCCCACCCCTCGGCCACCCCTTCCTGACTTCATCCTCCCCCTTCCCCTTCCCATCCCCAACTGCCCCCCCCCCCCCCCCCCCCCCCCCCCCCTTTCCCCCCTCCCGCCTTTTTCCCCTCCCCAACAGGTTCCTAGTGATGCTGCGTGCGTGCTTCAGAGAATGCCCGTCCGTGGTTAGTTATCCCCAACACTAAAGAAATTGCTAACGTCATAAGCCCACATCTGGGCAGCATGCCGGCAGACGGCCCGGATGCATAGCTGCTTACCAAAATTCAGACCGGCCGTGTGTCTGGGCTGTCCTTGTGCCGATGGCCCAGATGTGTGGCTGGTCTGAATCTTTTGGTGATCGACCGTGCATCGTGGCCACCCACCAGCGTGTGGGCTAGATCGTGGGCTGGACTTGGGAAGTGGCCGAATGCCACTATTCTTTGACGTCCGTTCCACTGTGGCGCACTCCGGTTCTACTGTATTGCCCGTCACAAAGCACCATATCTCCCAGGAGGCGTCCTTCCATATCTCCTAGCAGTGATAAATCAATCGCCTATCATATTTTTTGATTGTGGGCGAAGCCACAGCGTGTCAAGTAGTAGTCAAATCTGGGTCAGTGACTCGGCGTTTGAGACGGTTGTGGAAGCTGAACTGACTCTCCACACAATATACGAGAGCTGCAGAGCTTTTCTCCCGGAGAAAAGAGAAGAGCATACTTGCGGCGCACTTGGGCAGTGGCCGTGCGGTGCGCGTGCGCCATGTGCCGTGCGCAAATTGGTGATGCGCTCAATTTTGTTTATTATTATTATTATTATTATTTTTTAGGGATGTGTCACATGTGTATACGGACACACACACACACACACACACACACACACACACACACACACACACACACACACACACACACACACACGGGCCTAAAACCCTGGACTATGGGGTTACCTTTTGACTACTTTCTTTTCCTCCTCTACCAGGTTTTATAAACTTGTTCCACTTTAGAGAGTAAAATTTCCGAAATTTGAGAAATACTTCACCCTATGATGTCAGCAACGCAACGTGAGAATCAGGAAAGGGATTTGAACGGGGATCCCTGTGCCAGTGGCGCGGCACGAACCACATATCCTTCTTGCGATCCTCCCTGTGCTAACCCCCCTCACTCTTCCTCCCGTCACCGCTATGCGCGACAGCCTAATAGAGTTGACTGGGTTGCACATCATGAATGGAATACTGGTCTCTATGACGCAGGTCGCTGGTTTAAGAAGCGGATCTGCTATATAGCAGCAGCGGCCCACGTGGAACAATTTGAACTGCAATTACGAGGCATTGATCAGAGCCCCATTCAACCARGAATGGATGCTCTATCAGCCCCTGGGGTTATTTATGCTATTGTTCACATACCGTCTGGCCGCACATATGTTGGGCAGACGACATATTCCGCTCACTATCGTTTACAGCAGCACTGGCACTCCCGCCATTCATCTCAAACGACACACTCACGCCATCGTTACCTCTATCACTCCATGGCCAGGCAACCTCCATTTCATTTTGTTGTCTGGCCCCTGGAGTGTATTGATCCACATCTCTATCTGAATGCTGATGGTTCCATTGATCCAGAATCATTTAAACGTGCTGCTGCTCCTCGTGAAGGGTTTTGGGTCCGATGCCTGTCCACGTTATATCCTCGGGGCTTTAACAACGTCCTCCCACAAGGACGATTACCGCCAGTCAGACGATCTCGTCGTCCGAACAGGTGGATTTGTACGAGAGGCCGCCCGAGTAGTCCTGCTACCCGTCCTGCAGTGCAAACTTCTGCTGATAGGCCCTTCACGATTGACACTGCCCCGGGTCCCTTCTTTGCTGTCTGCTCAGCCCTGCATCGCATGCTCACACAGGCAGCCAACTCAAAATGGGAATCCATATCTCGTGCCCTCTCTCAAGCCAGCTCTGCCTGGCGCTCTCGCTTGTTGCAATGGTTGCTAACGAATGTCTCCAACTCTGAGCTCACATCGAACATTCGTCAACTGGAATGCATGATCCGTGGTCTGCAATATTCACGCCAACCGTATCTCAGCCCTAGACATAATGGGGCTCAATTTTTAAATTTTATTAAGGTTATGCACATGCATCAGGTTGCTCGCACCACACAACTACGAGGCGTCCTTCGGCTACCAGAGGTCGCTGAATTACACCCACGACCTGCTCTTGCCAAGGAGATACGCATCTGTGATAAGATGGTGCCCCCCATTCGTGTCCAGTTCTGCAATTTTACAGAAGTGGCACTTACCATAACAAGTAATATGCCTCTTCCAGACCCTGCCAATTGTCCCTGCCGACAAGCGTTTCCACATTGTGCRGACATTKTTGATGGTCATGTAGCCACAGTGGACTACACTGTTATACAAGATACACACTTGCGGGCTCTCTTCTTTGAAGGCTCCAAGTACCGCCTCAATGCCAACACCACAGATGTGATGAAAGCAT